ATATTATTTAACTTAAGTAGTAAATGTAAAAAATTCCTTACTCTCACCGTTTAATAAAAAGAGCATGTTATAGAGTTTTATAATAAATACGAAATAAGAATGGTTAAGTACAATATTCCAAAGTTTCTGCTCTTAAAGGAAGATATCAAGTGAATATAGCCTATAGAGGCTCTATGTTCAGAAGCAGTTCCAAGATTTAATAATTAACAAGTTAATCGCAACGATATCAAACAAAAAAAATTCAAGGGTTACAATAAATTTATTAGATAATTTAGTAAAAAATGTATCAAGAAAACTCCATGTATAAAAGTATTTTTTTTTTTTGCTAAAATTCCTGAGCAAACATATGTCAGACATGAGTTATGTGCAACTTTTTAGCGTCAGACACATATGATTGACAAGGCGAATAACGTGTTAAAAAGTACAATCGTTTTTTTGAGATTATTGATTTATTTTAGGTGTCATTTCAATAATTATGTATGACTTTGTTACTATAATAACTGGAGAAAATTTGATCTTAGGCCGAATTTTGTAGACGCCTTAATCGTACCGCTATCACATTTGAAAATCAATACAAAATAGTTATGAGATATTTAGAATGAGCATAAACTATAAGATGTACAGAATAAATAGTAATTCTTAAACCTGTAGTCTTGTAGTAATTCTGTATATATTATTTCCATTTTAACAAGATCGTTAAAATAAAATATTTATATTTAATAAATGTGAACTTTACGTTATAATTCTCTATAACTGTATACGTTTGTGTAAACGACCTATATTACCATTTCAGAATTAACTAGTGGAGTGCATGGCATCGTACCTTAAGGCAAATTGCTGGAACTTCCCGTACAGTAATTACAAATCTTGGTACGGAACTCAAGAAAATTTACACGAAATGTGTACACATTATTAAAATCTCTATAAAATATCTGATAATTTGATGTACATATGTCCAATAAACATTTTTGGACCGCCAAATGACATTTTTTTAACTTATTTTTATTGAGAGTCCATAAAAGTTGGACCTGCTTTCCCAAAAATTTGATCAGTTCTTCATCTTGTCAATACAAGTAAAATGTTTTTGAATTATTAAAATCGGACGCTCCGTTCTTTTAAAAACTGAGTTACCGTTTTTGGCACTTTTTGTCCAGTATCTTTGGAACGGCTAGACCTGCCTTCGCCAAAAACTAATCAGCACGTCTCCTTATCAATACGAATCGAATGTTTTTTGAATGATTCAAATCGGTTGATCCGTGTTCCCGAAATCGTCGACAAAGATTTGTATCCGCACACACATACATCAATTTTTTCTAAGGTATTCTAAAATGTTCAGAAACCTTTGAAACGTAAAGATATATAAAAATTCTTATTTTCGATTTTTTGCCATTACTATAACTTGCCCTACAGGAAGTTAATTACAGATATTTTTTGAAACAGGTTTGTGAGGTAGTTTCATCCCGGTTCTACGATCATAAACCCCATAAACCCTTATTATAAAACAAACAAAAAGTCTCGAAATGGGTGGGTCGTGCCCGCGGTCCCCGTCCGGCCAGTAAGTGAAAAATGCATATCCAGCGCATCGAATGGTCGACGATTCAGGGCTCAGGCAGCTGTTGACAAGCCGAGATTTACCCACGTGCTCGAACAGGGATGCTGTCAAATGCCCAAATGCATTAAGAGAGAAAACGATATTATTATATAAACCAATGTATCGAAAGAGGACAGGGATACCGCGAAATTTGTCACATGTTACAAGTTTTTCTGTATATAAATTTAAAACACCCCACAAGAATCCAATCAGTTTGCAATTAGAAACCGAAGCAACAACAGGATAACTCTGAAAGTTATATGTAATAAAAATAATTATTTATATTTATGTTAAAATGTTTCCTATAATTCCACAAAAAACAAGTGCGCCAAATTTAAATTCGGTAGCCAGTGATCTTTTAGTTCAAGTGAATTTGAAACATATGTATCAGAAATTGGAGACTAGCAGAAAGGACATGAACGAAACAATTGCTGGAAATAATATTCCAGTTGGCACCAGATCGCCTGTTTGGCTGGTCGAAGATTTGAAAAACATTCAAAAACCAAATAAGGTAAATCAAGTGAATTTGAACACGATAAAATGCAAGATTAAAAGTATTATTTATCAGATTGAAAAATTTATGTTTGTCCTAAATTGATCTTAGAGCTACCAATCTGAGACATAATATTTAATCTCAATGTCATTGAAAAGCTAAGATGAAAATAGTTGAATAGTTCAGCCAATAAAAATATAATTGAAATTTGCGACCAATACGCAAAACTGTATGAATAAAATTTTGCAGATAATGAAAATTTTAATAAATTATTATTATTATTCCAGACGTTTTGAAATTCTATGTCATAAAATAGTGGATATGAAAAAAAAAATAAGAATAAAATGTTGTATTCCAACAGCTGTTAGCTATCTTTTAACAGTAATAGTGTTGCAAGTGCAAATTGAATTTTTTACCTTTTCATACTATTATATTATACATATTTAAAAAAAAAATCATATCCAATGATGATGGCACAGTGGTCTCTCAAAATTTTGTTCATGGGTCATTCTTTACAAACCGTACACCAACCATACCTTGACATTTTAGAATTGGCTGAAATTTTTGTATAGATATTATAGGACACGTATTTCAGGATTTTGCGGGCAAAAAATATTTTTCGTTGATATTTACGATTGAAATATTGCCGATTTTCTCAATTTTTATGAACTTCCTCTGCATTATGTTAATTATCTTCAGTTGTGTTGATCAGTATTGTTTTTTTTATTATATAAATTATGAACTCAACTTTGAAGTAATTTAAAAAAAATAATGTTTTTGCAATTATTTCAACACTAATAACAATTGTTTACATTGATTTTACATACGCGCGCCCCAACTTAAATCGATTGCGTAAAAAATCATATTGTTTTTTTTTTTATCTACTACAAAATTATTTTTACAATTCGATGGGAAGGCTGTTACATCGGAAGATATTAAATGGGCAATTTAATTCAAATTTCAAATCAAATTTTTTTACTAAAATCCGTACGATTTGTAAAAGAATGACCCTCATACATCTTAACATCAAAATTATAAGATTCTTCCATTAATGAGAAAAACAATGGTGTTTAATATGTTTACATAATGCAGTTGCATAATAAAAATATATATCATTCATTCTCTGACATATCAAATTAAATAAATTATTATAATTATTACCTTTTTCAGTATGTTTCTTCACTACATTTTCACAACGGTTATATCCAGCCCGCGGCTCCGAGTGCACACATTGTTTGGCCACAAAATTTACCAATTGCTGGTGATATACAAAGTCAAAATGTTGTATTGGATCTCCATAGAACAGTTGATCTAAATTTTGGCCTAACTGTAAGATCAGTTAAGGATATCACTTCGGGGGAAAAAATCCAAATGTGGTTTTCTGAAGAAATATCTGCTTTAATTTCAATGCCATTTCTCACACCAAAGAATATTAAAGGTAAATATTACACTGAACTTGTATAAATCACTTCACATTGTTTAAGCAAAAACTAGATTAAGCAAAAATGCTGATGAAAATATGTATGAGGGCCATGAGTATTTTTTTACATTTTTATTTACTGATTTATCATATTAAGCTTGAAGTGTTATTTATTATCTTTCATTTTCCAGATCAAAATCGTTACTCATGTCATACCTGCAGTAAAGAATTTGAATATCCAAATCCACTAAAATTACACATAGCACTGGATTGTGAAAGGCTATCAATTGAATATATCTGGGAAAATATACACAGTGCCTTAATAAGTTTATGTAACCAAAACATTGTGCCTCTGAATTTAACATTGAAATCACCACTAAGAAATTCAGTATTGTCAAGTGAAACTGAACCACAAAATCAGGAAGCCAACCGCACCTCTGCATTTGTGCCTTACTTCAATCATACCAACTCATTTAAAACATCCCCCAGGCTACCACTATACCAAAACCAACAAATGCAATATGACCGTTTAGTATCATCCTTACCCATTAGAAATATTTCTGATATTAATTATCAGACACATGCTTCACAAATGGAAACTATAGTAAGCAATTTAGGAAAATCAAACAAAGGGCACTTATGTTTATATTGTGGTAAAGTTTATTCAAGAAAATATGGACTGAAAATCCACATTAGAACACACACAGGATTTAAACCATTAAAATGCAAATTTTGTTCAAGAGCTTTTGGAGATCCTAGTAACTTAAATAAGCATGTAAGGCTACATTTGCAAGGAGATTCCCCATATAAATGTGATCTTTGCAATAAGGTACTAGTGAGAAGAAGGGACCTGCAAAGACACCATCAGATGGTGCATAGCCAAGAATCTGAGATGTTATCTAATAATCCAATGTAGAATTAGAACTCATTTTAACACAAAATAAAACTTTAATGCACATTTGTTGGCAGGACAACAAAAACAATTAGATCAATTTAATTCGAACAAGACCATGTTAAAAAAACAGTACAAATACTCTGCATATAGTTCATGCTAATGGTACTACAAGAAAAAACAGTTGTAAATATGTCTTCATACATCATAATTTTCTGCAAAACTAATGGAACTGTGATATTAGGATAGGTAGAACAAATTATATATTTTATATTACTATGTAAATAGTGTGCTCAAATTCACTGTAAAAGAATTTGGGTATCATATGAATAGAAGTATAATACTAATTTAAGTTTGAAATAAAAATCAATTATTTTTTATAGTAATTTATTTTAATTCTCACATTAATGTGCAGATTTTGCAGCAAGTCTCTTGTCACGTTCTTCTGCAATACTGAGTTTCACTCCCTTACCGCGAGGTAATGAAACGTATGCCTTAGAGCCTTTACCAATGATGAAAACGTTATTCAATCTGAAAAATGCAATTTTGCAAAATAAGTGGGGAGAAAAATGAAATTTTGTACATTTAATATTAAAATTAAATTTACTGTTTACTACTTGGGTAATACTGATTAAAGCATGATTGGCTTTTCAGTGACCTAAAGAAGTAATTTTTATAGGCCTCTTTTTGACTCATTCAATTTATTAAAAATTGCTAAGCTTCGAAAGGGCCAAATTTGAATCAAAGTACCATGTAAAATAGAAAATGGTAACTTTTTTTACTAGACCAAAATGTCTAAGGCATATCTAATGGATCAGCTGGGTTTATATTTAATTTAATATTCCATATAAAAATGAAGTATAGAGTTTAAACTTACCTAGTAGCAAAAGTGTGGCCTTGGCTGTCCTTGATATGTACAATATCAAAAGATCCTGGATGTCTTTCACGGTTGACAACAGTACCGACACGCCCCAAGTTACGACCTCCGGTGATCATGCACAAGTTTCCTAAAAAAAAATTCAACATTAATATATGTATGAAAATTGAGTAATAAGTAAAATTTATAAAAAGATAAGAAAATTGATTTTTTCATAGATATTTGATCTTAGAGTAATAAACAAAATGTTGATAAATATGAATTTAAGAAGTTGAATTGTAAATTCCATGGGTAAATACTGAATTCATGTATTATTTTAACAAGCCAGTGACCATTGGAAGCAACATTAATATCTGCCTTGTTTTGACTCATTGAACAATTAAAAATGAGCAATAAGCTTCGATCAGGCAATAATTATAAATGGTTCTATAAAATGTACTAACCTGAATCAAACTTAATATAATCTGTGATCTTAGAACTGGCAATATCCACCTGAACAGTATCGTTTACTTTGATTAAAGGATCTGGGTAGCGAATGGTGCGGCCATCATGTGTTGTCAAGAATGGAATATTTTTGGGTCCCATTTGTACACGCTTTACTTTGCAGAGTTTGTACTGTAACAAAATAGGAGATGGAGTTATGAGTATAAGAATTAAACCAACAACTTAAAGCATAAAGTTTAAGATTATAATCATTGAATATAAAATTAAACTCCTCTATAGTGTTTTACAATAATTGCTTGAATCAATTATTGCTCAAAACAAGTTCTTTAAATTTAATTGAAAACATTTTAATAATATTCAATAAGTATCTAATACTTTTCAATTATAAGCAGCACAAAGTAACACAAGTCAAACATTTTTGAACTAAAATGCATATCTGCATGGAATTAAAATAAACTCTGTACCTCAAAAGGAAACCATGCGTAATGATGATACCATTACCATGGGGCAAATAGAGGCCCATTATTCTAGGACCCATCTAGTACAACTACACACTTTGTATAATCACATTCATAGATAGATCCATAACTTTTTAAGCAAACATTTAAATTCAATTAATAAGACAATGTAATTGAGCATTCTACAAGTGAAAAAGTGAATACACACACTACGACACAACAAAAAACTATCAATTTCAACTTCATAAATAGTTTGAAAGAACTTACCTTTGCTTCTTCAGCTGAAATACGATGAATGGCAAAACGTCCTTTAACATCATAGATCAAACGGAAGAACTCACCAGTTTTTTCAATTGAAACAACATCTAAAACAATGTACAAATTATGAAACATGAATTATTGTATGTAAGTCAAGTATGTTAAAATATATATTACTTACCCATGAATCCAGATGGGTAGTTAGGATCTGTGCGTACTTTTCCATCAACTTTGATTAAACGCTGCATAACAATCTTCGTAACCTCGGTATTGGTCAAAGCATATTTCAAACGGTTACGTAGAAAAATAACTAAAGGTAAGGACTCACGAAGTTTGTGAGGTCCAGTGGATGGCCGAGGTGCGTACACACCTCCTAATTTATCCAACATCCATGCTTTTGGTGCATGAAGACGCTTCAAGTGCTTCTTAGGTCCACGAGCCTAGAAATTTTTAGGTTAAGTTAGAAAAAACTAAATATACACACATTATAAGTCGAATTAGGGCTTCAGCAACAAAATACTATGCGTTTTAAACACTACCATTTTTGAAAATGAACAACTGTATTAATTACACAAGTACTATATATGCACAGATATCAACATTAAATTAATTTTCATCAAAATTGAAATAATCAAATACACCAAAATTCATAAACGCAATTACAAAAAATACGAAAATATTTGTAGTCCAACTAAAATGTATATATTACCATTTTTTATTTAAAAGATGATTTATGATTTAATCACTAACAAAACACTGGAAAACTCACCATGTTGGAAGCTAAACGGGAAAGGAAAGAGGCGGAAGTACACTACAAATGTCACTCTAGAACGCCCAAAGGTAATAAATAGAACTAGATGGCATATATGTGCCTATGGAATAGTATTATTTCCAGGAATAGTTTTATAATCTGGCAACACTACTGTCAAAGTGTCAATATGAAAACTGATTTATAATTATAAATAAGAATATTAAATAATACAAATATTTATTATATTATCTAGTGTTAAATAAAGTCAAATGAATATACAAATAACGATAACAAATTTGTGATTGACAAATAATATGGAAACATCTAGCTCAGAAAATACACAAAAACGGTTATATTTTCTATTTGAAAAATTGCAAGAAATGGCAAGAACTTTACCTCCGTAAGATAGACTAATTTAAATTAATAAATACAATATTTCAACAAGTAAAAGCGAATAAATTCCATTTCATTAGTGTATTTTACAGTTATTATAATATTAATGACTTATTGTTTTTTATAGAAATTTTCAGATGCGGCTTCCTTATGAGTTGCTATCTAGTTTAGCAAATTGTCTTCTTAATGATATGATTTTTCAAATAGTTATAGGTTTAATGGAAATTCAACAAGTAACAGAAAAGCATTTATATCAACAACGACAGCAGGTTTTGAATCAGCATAAATGTGAGCAAAATATAAAATGGAGATATGCAATCAAATAATTGTTTTCTATAATTTATTCATGATCTTCTATATTACCTAGTGGACATCCATTCATTAATCAGGGATTCATCAAATGAGCAGTCATTTTCTATACAATTTTCCGAACTGCTAAAAAAACAAGCCAAAGAAATTAAAATTTTAGATAATAATCTTGTAGAGCAATTGGATCAGAAAGTAAGTGTTGATTTGTTTCTGTATCAACTTACAGTTATATATATAATAACAAATTTCAGGTAACAGACCAGCAAGAAACTTTAGAGAAAGCAGGTGTTCCAGGTTTCTATGTCACTAAAAATCCAACAGATATTAAATTACAAATGCATCTTATTAACTTTATTCTTAGACTTAGTCAGTGCAAATGATATATGTAAAAATTAAAACAGATAAGTTTTAACTCAATGTATTTGATAAACAAATATAAATTTGCAAAATCCAAAAAATAACATTTTGTTAACAACATTTAGATTACAATTTTACATTTATAACAATTTAATTCTAGCAAACATATTATATAAATACTTATTGTATGTGATAAGAACAGTTGAGGTCAAACTAAATGGAAGACGAATTAATAAAATGCTATAACTTTTAAAAAAAATGCATATCAATGAAAAGTGACTATGATTAACATAAATTAGTTCCTATCACAAAATGCTAATGCAGGTCATATCAATCACAAAAGCATGTCAGCAACATGATAAATGGAAGAACTCAAAATTTCATGATATAACATCAATAATATATATAATTATTATATTATTAACTTTTATATTATTTTTATACCAGATAAATATAAAATTCTGATATCACCTTATAAAATTTATAGTCAGTCAAAATTTTTGTTAATCATCTAAAACATTTATGAATATTATTAGTCCGCTTTCATATAGAAATATTTTACAAACAATGTTTTTTAGAATGACCCATCTCATTCATTTGTCTTTGCCTTCAATCATCATCATTTCATTACTATTAACACTCATATTTTTATAATAAGTCTTACTTTATAATATTATACACAAATATTATAAAAAATACCTTAACAGACAATATTGAATCGAATCAAAGTTGTTTAATCACTTGCATATCAAGATTTTATCATATGATTTATACATTTGAAATGAATATAAATTTAATTTATATAATTTTAGGGCAAATTTATAATTTTAACTTACTGTGTGATATGCTGCCAAAATCATTGCCACTACTTATTTTATTAGAGCTTATGTAACTCATTTATCACACTTTCAAATAATAACGTTCTATAATGAAAATCTTTTCAGATTAAAGCAAATTGTAAGTACATATTCATGTTTCATCATTACAACATATATCATAGATTTGAAAGCTTCAACATAAAGGTTTCAAAAAGCTAGAATATGTTTCTGATTTGCCAAATTAACACTTCTACATAAAGATATTTAATTTTTAACATCAATAAAATTCTTAAACCTGAACCTTAATATCTTTCGATAATCAGTTCTTATTTAACTTCAATACTGGATATTATTTGCTTACCTTAACAAAACGCTTTAAAAGTGAATGAGCATAATAATATGATGATCGAGTATTAAAATGATTAAGTCTGTTTGTTTGGTGAACGCTTGCTTGGTGAATCTGATCCATAATCTGAAGCTTTACTGATCTTGGACATACCTATTGTTTTCTGCATGAGTGCATAAACTGAAAGATAATAAAAAAATAATATAATGCACATATATATATATATATATATATATATATATATATATAAATTATGAATTCATTTTACAAATGAAAATATTTTGTAATATAAGACAATAATTACATTTGTGATAAGTTATCTTAAAAAATCAAATTTCAACAGTTTGACACTATTCTGAGCAATCGATATAGAATTCACATTCAAATGCTATTACATTACCAGCTTAATATTAGTTAACTTACATGTTCCAATAATACACATGCCCGCACTAAAATACAGCAATTCTCCACTAAGTAAAAGACTTGCTAAATAATACAACATAGGTGTCAATGTGATAATTCCCCAACATATTGTATTCAGTAACGGAGCTAAACTAGGTTTTAGTTTGAAAGGTTCCATATACCCTGTTGTTTCTGATTCTGGTAAAAATCTTCCTGTTTTCAGGAAAGAGTCTACTTGATCATCCTAAAATAAATTAATAATATTATATTCAAATAAACAACATCTTTTAATAATATTATGATTATATATCTAACAAACCTTTTCCTTAAATAAATTATGCATAAATTTTGCTGCACCGTCTTCATCTGACGGTACTGATGACATAGGTATCCTCCTAACATGCATATATGCATTTATCGTTCGTCCTAGTAGGAAATTTAATACAGTTGGTGATACCTAGATTGAATATAATTTCACATTAATATAAACATATATATTACAGAAGAATAAATTTGGAATAGATTGATTATTGGATTCGGTACCTTTTCATCTGGTTTGACTACAAGTTGAATATCATATATGGCAGGGCATTTGGCTTTAAGGGATGGTAAGCTTGCGATAAAACCTTTAGTGCGCGGTGTTAAGTGATGCTTAAGAACTGGTAGTCCATGTTCAGCAGCAAATTTCTGAGATGCAGCATGCTTTGCTAGAGTAAAACGTGTGCCTTCTGCATTTAACAATAACTGAAAATATAAAAATCTTTTAATAATATCGTATAAAATTATATAATATTGACAATAAATGTGCATTGCAACTCATATGCTTACCCACGTAGGATCAGGATAATCCATAATTTCGCTAATTTGTTTACCAATAAATTCTTTATCCTTATCATAGGACCTCTCTAAGAAGACAAACTCTGCAAACTTCCAAGACCATCCTAATGACGGAATGTATTGAATAGATCTTTTTGCATATGCCTTACAATTCTGTAATAAACATAATATAATTAAAATGATTATCGAATAAATAATAATTTTGTTCAGTCTGTCTATTAAAATTATAAAATAAACCACTTTCTAATATGAAATATATAAATACACAAACTCAGTATGAGCTGGTATGAATAAATTTGATAATTTAAATATTGACTTATAAGAATACTCACACCAAGTACACCAATTTTTTCCGTAAACATCCATCCTAATAACCAATCTGTTTCGTACGTATGATTCATAATTAAAAGACCATGTTCCTTCCCACATTGTTCATAATCTTTCTTTGATATGTGTAAGGTCAGATTAGATTTGGACCACCAGTCAGCTAAAAACACTATCTCTGAAGAAATAAAACTCTTATTAATACTAACAATAAACAATTATAATAAATGTAACATTTATATTCTTAAACACATTATTCTTGACAATTTCAGAATACCAAAAGTTTTAAAATATTTGAGCATGCTATTATAATTGCATTAAATACTAATTGTAAATTTTACTAATTTCAAGAATAATTTCTACTTTATAAAGGAATTCATTTCAAACTATTTTATTAAATCCATATTGGAATATTAAATAAATTAATAATCTGAATCTCATTAATCTAGAAAACTTTAATTTATGTATTTTTTTCTAATATCTTAATAAGAATGTGCAGTATAAATATTTATTGCTAATTGTGCATACATGGCAGTTGAACCTATAGAAACAAAATTTCATAATGCTATAAATTGAAAAACATCATGCATATTTGTGATAATGTAATAATAATAAATTTTGCTATGAAAATAAAAATGACATGTTGTGAAAACAACAAATATTTTCAAGTTGAATAGCATACAAATGAAAATATTTGTTCACATGTTAAAGACCAAATTATCATTTAATGTTTGTTCTATAGGTGCAACTGACCAGTCCAAAAACCCATCCCAAATCCCAAAGGTGATAAATAATTGTGCTGGTAGTACTTACGACTGTAAAATGTGTAGCACAAATAATAACCAAGTTTTCTGTAAAGCCTCTTGTTGAAAGGCTTGAGACATGTGTATAATATGAATTGTGCAATGTTTATGATCAGGCCTGATGTGAAGAATGAAATGGCAAAACACAAGTGCACGATGCGAGATTTTTTCAGCACGGAGAGAATCATTTTATGCTTTCAATTCTTATATGGAAAATCTGAAATTCATAATAAATAGTAAAAAATTAAATGATGCCTAAATAGCATAATAAAAATCAAATATAACATAACTCTATTCATAGATAAACTATGATCCAAAAAAATTCAATCAAAACAGTTCTATGAGCTGTTGTGATGAAATATGTCCTTAACAACGACTGCTTTTAGGAGGCAATCTAACAGTTGGCCTATCAATATTTGATTGATTTACTAATATCAAAATGTATCTCAATTTTTTTTATATAAAAACATATTTTTACTATTACACAATCGCATTATTCATTTAAAGTAGTCACGTAACGAAATAACGCTGGTCACTTTATACTCATTGTTAATAATTATTATTTATTCTATTTGCTAGTCACTAAAGACAGTTATGGTAAATGAAAAAT